ATAAAAAATACACTTGAGGCTTTGGGAATATATGGCAGGCTTTCATAACGTATTCTATACGGGGAGGTGCATAGTAATCCAGATATCCACAAGCTGTCTTGCTGGTTTTAAAGAGTTGTATTTCTGCACAGCACAGGACAATGTGTTTGTTGTAGTGAAAGCTGAGGGGAAGCTACTCGAGAGTAGGCAACAAAGTGAATCTGAAAAGTTGCCTGAATATTTTGGAATTCTTTTCGGCACAGTAATATCCAAAAACCAATAGGCGTAATAGAAGAGTAAAATACTTCCTTAGTTTCGTGCAACCAGATTACAACACAACATAAAAATTTTCAAGTATCGTGTGCTTAAGGCTGCCAGTTCTCAGGGTTCCCATTTAACCTTTTGGAAAATTAATTTATGCAGGGAATGCCAGCCAGTGTTCAGATATATGCATGTGGAAAGGACTTACAAAGTCAAGCTGTTGCTCGACGCAGCTTCTTCCGCTGCTCAACTGTGCAACTGAGCTGGAACTCTGGTTCTACAGGGCTTCTAGTGGTGGTCCAATCAGATGTTGATAAAACAAACCAAAGCTACTACGGAGAATCAAAGTTGAACTACTTGACTACTGATGGGACCCATGAAGGGCTTGTTCCTCTCCGTATGTTGTTTTCATCTTCTTAATCTTCAGCCAAAGTTATGTGTTGAATGAGTGAATTTGCGACTTACTGATCCTTGGGCATGTTGCAGGTAAAGAAGGCCCTATTCATGATGTTCAATGGTCCTATTCGGGTAAAGAATTTGCAGTTGTTTATGGTTGTATCCTTTACCAACACCCCAAAACCCAACCTCAAGGCTTCTGAAATTGTTATAAAAAATGAAAAGAAAGCCTTAGAGAAAAGGGAAAAAAAGAAGAGTAAAAAGAGTCTATGGAAATGTTACACACTTGTTGTGAAAAACCATATAAGTTGAAGACAAGAATATTTGGAAGAAATGTTACAAAGTTTGAAGTTGGATGCAACTTTTTTCTAGACGCCGTAGAAGTTTGAATATATGCGCACTTATAACTAGTTGCTAAAGCTTAGAGCTTGGTTCTTCCAGTATTCTCTCATTCGTGGTTCTGGGTGTTACTGTTTTTCTTTAATTATTTCATTTAAAATCTTCTCTCTCGCTTAAGAGGAGTAATACACAATAAAAAATGTGAGACAAGTGTTAAATGGTGGAGGACATCTGGCACACATATTCTTTTTGCTCTTCAACTTACAGAGGAGGTCCAAGGTGAAGTGCGTTAGATCATTGCTTTTATATACTCACTGAACATGCGCTCTGTTCATTAATAGGGTCTAAATGTAGTCCTAATAAAGAAGCTTTTATTTCCTCCCTCGAGTGGATTTGTTCAAAGATTAATTTGCAACTAGTATCCGCCTTCAAAGCAATGCCACAGCAATCGAGGAGTTAGAGTAACAACCTTGGGAACCAAGGCTCAAATATAGGAGAAATGACACTAGGTAAATTTATTCCATGCCTAAGCATTAGCTGGTAGAGTTACTTGATACCTATGCTTGTCGTAAGTAGTAGGTTCTCGGTGGATTGGTTGAAGGTGCAAAATAGCCTCGACACCTCTGTTATTAAAAATATATGCAGCTAGAATTCCTATATTTTTTCTTGAATCCATTGTTTCATATATTTTCTGGATGCTGCTGTTATTCCTTAAATCACTTAGTTATGCCTGCTATGGCCACGGTGTTCGACAAGAAGTGCAATCCTCTGCTTGAGCTTGGAACAGGCCCATACAACACTATCAGATGGAATCCGCTGGGGAACTGTATCCTTTTCTTCGAAAAGACATTCTTTTTCTAATTTGTCATCATTGTTTCTAGTTGGTCATTGGAAAAAAGGGGGCTAGTTCAGCCTGCTAGTTTATTTCCATCTGCAGTTACTGCTTTTGCTTGCCTTAATCCTTNGGGTGAATTTTCTCGATGAATAGAATATCCCGTGATTTTTATGACGAACAGATGTTCAAAGATCTCATTCTGACAGCTTTTTCGGGTAAATTTTACAGCAAGCTCAATTCCTTCCCCTGGTCTGTTCATCAATTTCATTTCCTCAGACATTTTGGCCTCCTTCAATTATGTCATAGGGATTGGATAATTTTGGTCACAAGAAAATAAGAGATAGTGATTTATGTAGCACCCAAGGGTGTGACCTTAAGTGGGTGCAACCTTAGAGATCAGGGTTCAAATTCTAGCCGAGACAAGAAGCATTAGGTAATTTCTTCCCATCTACCTAAGCTTGATAGACAGAGTTGACCGGTACCTATGCTAGTGGAAGGTAATAGGTACCCGATGAAATAGTTTACGTGCACGCAAGCTGGCCTAGACATCCTCGCTATAAAAGAAAGGGAAGATATGGTGATTTGTGTAGTCAGATGGTTTCTTTTATCTCATTAAAATGAGCTCCTTTAGTATATGGCACTTAAATAATCGTCTTAGGCTTGTAGTTTTAGTTGTTCAAATTGGCAAACTATTGCCTATATCTCTTAGTCCTCCATTCTTGTTATTTGGGTTGTTGGTTCAGCAGCTTCTACTCATATTTGTGCTAATAAACCACTCTGGCAAGTGCAGCCTGCCTGCACCTTGACCTTCATTTATGGTAGTTGTCTGAACAATTTAGACTACTGTATTTTGCCATGTCTACCTGGAGGTTGAGAAAGTTCCTACTAAATCTTAGTTGATTCATAGAGTGATGCTTGCCTGCGATCTTGAATTACAAGTTTCTTCTGCTTATTTAGCTTAGCTTTTAAGCGATTAGTCATGACTTCAGGCATTCTGGGACTACAAGGAAAAGAAGCAGCTTGGAACTACAAGGGCTGAATTGTCAGTGACAAGTGAATGGTCTCCTGATGGTCGGTACTTTATGACTGCCACAACAGCTCCACGCCTTCAAGTTGATAATGGGTATGCATATGTTTTGCTGATTTTGTTTTTAAAAGAATGTGCTTTGGCTAAACGGTAACTTGAGAACCGAGTGTACAAATTTTTCAATTTGTAGCTTGCAATGATAAGACAATTTAATGCATCACAGTTGGTGCATTTTGCCCCATTTTATACCATATCAGGATATCTTGATAGCTGTCTGGACCACTTGACTTCTTTCAATCTATTGATTTTATAATGTCTTAAATCTTTAATCTCAAGTCAACTTTTCAGATGCTGATGTTAATCCACCTGTAGGTTTGTTATAGCAATTATTATCTATCTTCCTTGCTAAAAATGGACCTGTTGAATTATGGCCCTAATGCAATTGCATGAACTTATAATTATGTTGAGAAGCCTTCGGTGATTCTAAAGAATGAGAAGCTAGTGAGCATGCCTAATGTTGCCTTTGTGGGAAGAGTGAGGCAATGGGTTCATTGGCTAAAAGACCGAATTTTGTTTTACCATCAAAAAATTGTTGCCTTTGTTTGGAATGAGAGAAAGTGGAGTGCCAGGTTTATGCAAGCAGATATATTTAGCAATTTTGTTATTAAATACATGATAGCTAATGCTCATTCTTTCATGTTTTTGAAGGGTTAAAATTTTTCACCACAATGGATCATTGTACTTCAAGAAGATGTTTGACAGATTGTATCAGGTTAATAGCCTTGCTAATTTTTTTTCTGCGAACAAACTTGCTCTGCCTGCTTACTTCTTTGTTCACTCCTCTGACAGGTTGATTGGAAGCCAGAGTCAGTAGAAAAATTTGGTGACATTGAAGACCTTGTTAAGGCAGTTGGCTCGGTGAAAATAGATGAAGCTAAAGCGCCAGGTTCCTCCTGTTTAAATCTTGTNACGGGAGAAACAACGGGAGAAAAAACAAACTGAGGGTGCTTCTGGAACTGGTGGTTCATGATCAGATGCAACTTTACCGAATGCTGTCTTTGACAATGCAGGTCATGAGGGGCCTAAAGCAATATAAGGTTTTCATGGACCCTCAACATACCGGAGATTTATTTGATTTGGCCTAATATTTGTAGAAAATATAAATCAAATTTTGTTTCATATCTTCTTTTCCAAATTTAGTTTTCAGCCCATGTGCTAGATTTGAAATAAAATTGCCCTTTTCTCAAGTAAATTTACTTGTGTAGGATGAGTGGGATGGTGGAGCTGCCAGTTAGAGAGGAAGTTAGTGACAGAAGGGAAATGTTTCTCTTTTTCTTTTTTTGTTGTTGTGTTACTACCTTCTTGTTATGAAATATGACTGCGACAAAAAATGTATGGTTTATATCTGTGCGTATTTGTACGAAATTTCTTGAAATAGGGGCAAAATTTATTTGTAGGGTAACTACCGTTTTCTAACGGTCCTAAACAATCGGCGACCAACAAAGCCGCCTCCGACTACCCTCCCATCGCAAGGTAGGTCCCCTCTCTCTCATCTCTTCCCTTTTCCCCCATCTCTCCTTTCCTCTCTTTTCTTTTTCTTCCCCTTCTTTTCATGTCTTCTCTTTACACTTCTCCCACCGCCAGCGACCTCATCAGCGGCGACGCTTTCTTTCTCCTCTTTCTGCCTCTCTCTCTCTCTATCCCCTTCGTTCTCCCTCTCTTTGCGTGTGTATGGGTGCGTGTTTTCGAGCCTGCGTACAGTGAATAAGGCTGACTGAGCTCCGGCGAGATTCAGTCATGCACCGGGGCGCGTGAGCATTAATACATTTAGGTTTCCGGTTAGATTTTGCATCATTGGTGGACACCCCCTCAACTGGACATGTCCCATTAGATCTCAAGCCACTTCTGATGTGATCCAACAACTCCGGATAGATTTCCAGCGAGCTCCATTGTCTTCGTCGACTATTATTCCTCTGTTTAAAAATCCAGGCTCTTCTATTCTTGTTTTTTTATATTCTGTTTTCGATATGCTCTGTTACAATCTGTTTCTTTTGTTCCTAATGTGTTCTTTATTTGTCATTGTGATCTAATTGCGGTTACTATATTTGCTTGCGGGCTTTAGATTAGTGAATTTTGTCTCGCTTATCTACCTACAACTACCATTTCTAGTACATTAGTTTTGTGATAGTGCTTGCTTAGTGTGACTTAGATTATAGTGGTTGTAGTGAATGATGGTAGGTAAGGTCATGTTCTCAGGAGGGGGGGTGGGGTCGATGGCAAGGGGGAGTAAGGGTGGTAAGGGAGTCCCCAAGCTGAGAGTTGGGTCTTGGAACATAAGGACTTTGACGGGAAAGTCTATAGAGTTAGCAAAGATTCTCCATAAGAGGAAGATCAATATAACTTGTCTCGAGGAGACTAGATAGGTGGGAGTTAAGGCACGAGATATAGACATGTTTAGACTATGGTACTCTAGACGCGTGGGGGCAAGAATGGGGTAGGTATTTTGGTTGATAAGAATCTCAAGGAGCTAGTGGTGGAGGTTAGGAGGGGGAACAATAGACTGATGATTATTAAACTAGTTGTTGGGGAATTTACTTTAAATGTGGTTAGTGCGTATGCTTCCCAAGTGGGCTTGGACGAGGAGATCAAAAGGCATTTTTGGGAGAATTTGGATGAGGTTGTGCTTGGTGTTCCGCACACAGAAACTTTTCATAGGATGAGATTTCAATGGCCACATTGGGGCGATTTTGGGGGTTATGATAATGTGCATGGCGACTTTGCTTTTGGAATTAGAAACGGAGGAGGAACTTCGCTACTGGATTCACTATTGGATTTTGCTAAAGCTTTTGATTTGGTGATAACTAATTTAAGTTATCAAGTGGGGGAGCTTTGACTAAAGACGAAGCCCAGGAGTTGGGAGATAAGTTGCTGGCTATGGGGCATGGAGGAGTAGTGGGGGGCGCGAGAGGTATGTGAACCACGAAAGCGAATTGCATTAGAGGTTGCTAGAGAGGTATTAGCGGTCTTGAAGGGCTACTCTAGTGGTCACAAGGGGGATTAGTGGTGGAATGGAGAAGTCGAAGGTAAATAGGAAGCCGAGAAAGCGATGTATTTGAAGTTTTTGGAGAGCGTGGACGAGGAGGAGAAGATAATGAATATGGAGCGGTATAAGGTGGCTAAAAAGGAAGCAAAGTTACTGGTTATTACGACGACGAAGACTGTAACGTTTGAACTGTATGAAGAACTTTAGGGCAAATGCATGGGTAAAAGTTGTATAGGCCAGCCAAAGCGAGAGAAAGGAAGGCCCGTGACCTGGACCAAGTGAAGTGCATCAAAGACGAGGAAGATAGAGTTTTGCTGGATGAGGCACATATTCGACAGAGATGACAGACTTACTTCCATGCAATCATGTACGAAGATGGGGATATGAACATTGAGTAGGGTGACTTGGAACAATCCGAGAGTCGTCGAGACTTTGGGTATTGTAGGCGTATAAAAGTTGAGGAGGTAGAGGGGGTTATGCATAAGATGAGCAAGGGAAGAGCGACGGGGCCAGTCAAAATTCTGTTTTGGAAGGGTGCGACAGGGCGGGCTTGGAGTGGCTCACTGAGCTATTAATCTCAAGCACTCCTGAAACTAATAATGACATTGATGGAGAAAGTATCAGCCACAGTATCAAAACCTAAACTTTTAATAAGGGTGACTACCCTTGTTAAATATCAAATCCACCAGAGCAGACTTCTCTAGTGGATTAATTTAAGTATCTGCGCAAGCATGATTAGACTCTCTACCCTCCCAAGTTAGAGGTAAGGTCCGCGTGCACACTACCCTCCACAGACTCCACTTGTGGGAACTCATTGGTTTTGTTGTTGTTGTTGTTTTTGCGCAAGCGTGATTCTTTGACCTACTAATAAAAAACTATNAGAGGTAGAGGGGGTTATGCATAAGATGAGCAAGGGAAGAGCGACGGGGCCAATCAAAATTCTGTTTTGGAAGGGTGCGACAGGGCGGGCTTGGAGTGGCTCACTGAGCTATTTATTGTCATTTTTAGGACGAAAAAGTTGTCTGAAGAATGGAAGTGGAGTACAATTTCTTTGTACAAGAACAAGGATGATATCCAAAGTTGCAACAACTATCGGGGTATCAAGCTACTAAGCCATACTATGGAAGTTTGGAGAGGGTGGTGGAGCTGAGAATGAAGAAGAGTGTCTATTTTCGAGAACCAGTTCAAATTTATACCGGGACGTTCGACTATGGAAGTTGTTCACCTTGTTAGGAGATTGATAGAGCAGTATAGCTAGAGGAGGAGGGATTTTAATATGGTGTTCATCTACTTAGAGTAGGCTTACGATAAAGTTTCGAGGGAGGTTCTGTGGAGATGTTTGGAGACTAGAGGTGTTCATATTGCATACATTAGGGCAATTAAGGACATCTATGATGGAGCTAAGACTCGGGTGAGGACACTCGAAGGGGACTCGAAACTTTCTAGTTGTGATGGGGTTGACGCATTGAGCCTCAACCCTTTTTTATTTGCCCTGGCGGCTGACACACTGATGCACCACATTCAAAGGGAGGTGTTGTGGTGCATGTTATTTATAGATGACATTATACTGATTGACGATACGCGAGGCGGTGTTAACGCGAGGTTAGAGGTTTGGAGGCAAACTCTAGAGTCTAAAGGTTTCAAGTTGAGCAAGACCAAGAAAGAATACTTGGAGTGCAAGTTTAGTGGTGCGACTCAGGAAGTGGATGAAGACGTGAGACTTGATTCACAAGTCATCTCTAGGAGAGAAAGTTTCTAGTACCTTGCGTTAGTTATACAAGGGAATGGGGAGATTGACGAGGATGTCACACATCGTATTGGAGCGGGGTGGATGAAATGGAGGCTCGCTTCCTGTATTTTGTGTAATAAGAATGTGCCAGCAAAACTTTAAAAGTATGTTCTATAGAGCGCTGGTTAGACTGACTATGTTGTACGGGGCTGAGTGTTGGCCAGTCAAGAACTCCCATGTCCAGAAGATGAAGGTAACAGAAATGAGGATGCTGAGATCGATGTGCAAGTATAACATGATAAATAAAATTAGGAATGAACATATTCCAGACAAGGTGAGCGTGGCTCCTATGGAGAACAAGATGCGGGAAGCGATACTTAGATGGTTCGGGCATATGAAGAGGAGAGGTACATATGCCCCAGCAAGGAGGTACATATGTTCTTTTTTATATTCTTCTCTCTTCTATATTATATTATTATTTTTATTTTTTAAATTTCCATTAAATAGATTTCATCTTTTATTTTCATTAATTTGTAATTTCCATTAAAACAATTTCATAAAATTTTAAATAATATAATTTGTAAGCAATTATTATAGATTAAATAATAATTCAAATAAAAGTGAAATCATTGTCATACAAGATTAATTAAATACATATTACATAACGATAAAATTCATTCGAAAAAAAGAAGTTTTGACTGTTCAAAAAGGAAAACTAAGAGTAAAAGAAATGAAAGAAGAAAAAAATGTTTTAATGATGGATGTGGATTCTATTGTCGATCCGACTCGTCGTAAATTTATGCGACAAGAACAACGCTATAATGATTTTGGTGTATCCACAGTCACAGTCACTACTACAACAATCCTCGGCCCCATTCACTCAATACTATAATAATTTTGGTGTATCTGGAAACAACATACCTCCCTACTAAGTTATTATGATATTTACCGTAGTTTTAACTTTTATGTATTTTAATTTAATGTATTTTCAATTTTCATGTATTTCCTATTTTAATGTATTTTCATTTAATGTATTTTCAATTTTCACATTTTAATTTTAGCAACATCTAATATTTTATATTCGCACCTTTCAATTTTAGCAACATCTAATATTTTATATTTGAACCATTCATTTTTTGAGATGATTATATATTTTTTTGTACAATTATAACTTATAATAAAATTAACTTACAATTTTACATAAAAATAATAAATGAACGAAAATTAATTTATCAAAATTATACGCCAAAGTTAAGATGTAAAATTAATATTATAAAGATATTACATAAATATAATTAGGTATATATAAAGAGATAAATTAAAAGAGTTAAATAATAAAATATGCATGAATAGTAATGTGGAAGATGAATAGT